GGGCAGGACTCAATGATCAGTGAAGCAGCTGACAGGAGAGAGATCTGAGTGTAAACAATACAGATCTCTCTCCTGTCAGCGGGACCTGCTGGTTTTTATCACTCTGCAAAGCAGAGAGATAAAGCCCAGCACATATCCTAGTAAAACACTAAACAGTACCAGTCTAATCACTGCCTAGCACACAGTTAACCCTTTGATCACCAGTTAACCCCTTGATCACCCCAGATGTTAACCTCTTCCTGCCCAGTGTCATTAGTACAGTGTCAGTGCTTTTTATTAGCACTAATCACTATACTGTATTAGTGTCACTGGAAATGTCAGTGGCAGTTAGTTCCCACCCAATGTCAGTTAGTGTCAAAATGCCCGCCGTACTATCGCTATAAGTCGCTAATTGCTGCCATTACTAGTATAAAAAATAAATAAATAAAATATCTAGTATATATACGGCCATTTGTAGGCGCTATAACTTCCACACAAAACCAATTAATATACATTTATTGGGATTTTCTTTTACCAAAGATGTAGCAGAATACATTTTAGCCTAAATTTATGAAGACATTGTATTTTTTATTGGATATGTTTTATAGAAAAAAGAAAAAAAATATTTGGGGGGGTAGTTTTTTTTATTTATAGTGTAAAAAATAAAAATCTCATTGATGATCAAATACCACCAAAAGAAAGCTCTGTGTGAAAAAAAATTAGATAAATTTAATTTCTGTATAGTGTTGCATAACTGCACAATTGTCAGTTAAAATAGCACAGAGCCTTATAGCAAAAAATGGCCTGGTCATGAAGGGGGCAAATCTTCCGTAGGGCAAGTGGATATGTGAAATGGCCCTGACTTCGAAATTTAGTGAAAGATCTTCCATATTCTGATTACATTGCCCTGTTCCTAACCTGTTATACTGTTCTCCATATGATCCAATGGTACTGTTGTTACATACTGAAAACATGGAATGTTGCCATGGAAAAAAGCTTCTCAAACACATCTTAAACATCTGGAACTGTGCAGGAGAAATCAATGCTGCACCATGCTACTCAATATCCAATAAACATGTGACTGGTTAAACCATTGCTAGCAAATGTATAATAATCTAGCCTCATAAATATATAGAATTGTTCCTATGGCACACAAGTTTTCTAAACATGCTAGAACAGGTCTGTTACTCATAAACCATTCCCTTGTTCCTATAAATAAGAAAATGGCCCTTTAATTGCATGATTGCTCCATTCAAATGCAGGCATAAGCAAGGACAAACGTAGTGGGTCCATGTAGTGAAAATATTGTAGTGAGTCCCTACACTGCATGGCCAAGAATAGCATGAAAGACTTCTCATTGCTCATTCTTACTTAAGTCGGGTATACATGAAGCTTTATTCATTCAACCAGCAGGTTGAATTATTAAAAAACTGAGAGGTGCCCGCATCAACACAAGCGATATTGATGCAGGAATCTCTCCTACTCTGCTATTGTATTGTATACACTGAACAGTGCTTGCAGACAAAGGTTCAATCCAATGATAGTTTTCCAACATGACCGTTCAACAGAAGTTGGTCATTAGGCCAGCACCTGTTGAACAGAGAAGAATACACACAGACTGAAATGTTTGTAATGCATGTACCTGTCTTTAGTGTTAGATCTACCCTCCATGGGTAGCCTTCGGGTACAGTTACTACTCTGAAAAATGCTAGCTACTTGGCTGTCCTATTAATCCATAGCTTTCAATACTTCAATAGTCCCTCCATCAAAATAGGTATGGAAAGAATGCAGAAGCTTGAGGGTCAATATGACTTCTAGGCAATTAACATTTTTTGGAAAGAGGTCATTGACAGCCTAAATTATTAGCTGATGCACATGTAGCAAGTGTAATAAGAGTGCTAAGCCAATGGTCAAAGAGTCCAACTTATTCATTAATATTCAGGTGATGTTAAACAACCAAGGTGTTTTGGGGGCTCTTGCAAATTCCAAGCCCTGATTAAGGAGAGAGCGCATGAACTTGGAGGACTCAGTTTAGGTTAATTATTGAACACAGAAAAACAGTCACCAAGAGTAGTAGCTCTGTGGCTAATTGTCAGCATGAATGCACTTATTACTTCTTATGGGTGGATTAGTGAGGGGTACCCTGTGTGCATGAAAGCAGCCTTATCAGCGCTACTATGCTTCATGTACTGGAGCCACCTGTGTGACATTCTCAATGAAATGCAGCACCTATTGCACATGAATATTATCAAGTGACTGGTTTCCTTTAAAGAATATGTTACCCCGACATATACAATATTCCTGATATGTGCCTGTTGTACCATATACTTATGTTAACATGTATTCTGTTCTCTTTGTATTGCTTCCTTTGTGTGTAATTCTTGGTGTTCTTACCAGTCCCCTGCTTTCCTATTTCAGTCTGACCACGCTAGGCAAAGAAGCTCATCCATCCCAGGGTAGTCAGCTTTCTGTCTGTGCTGGGAACACAGCCTGTCCTCCAATGGTCAGACTTGTGCTGACATGCTCCCCTGCACAGCTCTTCACTGGGAAGATCAGTTTACTGCTGTTTCTTTACCACCCCCCAAGCTCTCTAAACCCCCTGTGCAGCTAAGAACTGAGATTGTAGTTGCACCCATTTTCAACACAGCTTACTGAATGTAGTGAAGCTTTGCTTTGTAAAGAATACCTAATCAGATGCAAGGTAAATTAAAAAAACAGCATTTTTGCTTGCAAGCGATTAGATGATGTTAATCAGCAGAGCTTTACCACATTCACTAAGCTCTGAGAAAAATGAGTGCAACTGCGCTTGCAAAGTGCACAAATCAATTTGCCTTTAGTAAATCCACCCCAGTGAATCACCAGGAACATGTGGGCAGTACTAGGACGCCCATATTTCTAAGCTGACAGGTTTTCTTTATTCATACACAAACCTGTTCTCTGATTATTGTTAGTTCAGATACTATGTTCTCAGCGCTGCTATCACGATCTCTTTTGTCTTTACCAAACGCCGGATTGTGCAGATTGATCTCTTTCATGGCAAAGAGATTCTGACCACTGCGTTTTCTGACCTATTGGGAAATACGAATAGCAAAAAAAAAAATAAATAAAAAGGTTAAAATAAAAACATCAACTATCCATTCCTACCACCAAAAAAGGTATATATGTACAGTAAATGTGTACATAAATAATAATACTAATATGTTTTTATAAATGGTGTTGGCAAAATATAAAAACAATACACCAAACACTTTAGGACTCCTTTTGCATGCCTATATTACCCATTCAGTGTCAGGTTTTCTCAGACCTGCTACAGTTGCCAAACCCCTTTTTCCCTGTGTGAATGAGAAGGCAGGACATATTGTATGTAGGGGTGCCTTGAAACCTGCCCAAATTACATTTATTAATGGATTGTTAGGAATTGTAGTTCCAAGCAAAGGAATGGTGCTACATGTGCTTTTGGCATACAACAGCAATCTCTCCCCTCTACCTTTTAAAGTCTATAAAAAAACTTGTGGCAATAAGTTGTACAGAACTGCTCATATAATCTGCTGCTTAGGTTGGGTAGGTGGTTATTTGTTGTACAACTGATCTTGAAGAAGTCTTAACTTTAAATCTGAATTCCAGGTATGCATTACAGAATGATACACACACACATCTTTCGGGGTTTATAATACTGTAACCTAACTTGCATGCACTTAAAGCGGAGCTCCACCCTAAAGGGGAAGTTCTGCTTTAAGGACATGTCTCCTGCTCCCCGTGAGGAATTGCACCTTTGGGGAGTGAGGGAGTGGGGGGTATCTGATTTTGGCAGGTACCCGCCCCCACTTCTGCCACGACCGTCTAAGTGATCAGAAATGGAGGTTCTTTATCCCCTCCCTCCCCGCAGTCTTCTGGAACACATGACAGGTCCCAAAAGACTGTGGGACCATTCACATGCAGTGCTGCCTGCATATGCACAATGGGCACCTGGTGGGACTCCGCAAGCTGTCACAACTGGGTGCCCACAGTTAAGATGCTGGCACCAGGGACAGATGAGGGTCAGTAAACCTGGCAGGGGTGAACACACTGCTTGGTCATGACACAGGTGGGTGGCTAGTTTTTAAAAAATCAGCAGCTACAATTTTTGTAGCTGCTAACTTTTATTTTTTTCACAGAAGACTGAAGCTCTGCTTTAATGTTAGATTCCATTTTCCATGGGCACTATGGCATGGCAGAATAGCAGCAGACAGCAAACTGCAGGAAAGGTCGGCATTGGCTCGCTGTCAATCATATAGCCAGTGGGTGGTGACAGGTGTAGCCAGCAGTTGACTTACTAGCTAGAGGCTGATGAATCAGCACTGGGGATATCATATGTACCTATGCCCACTTCTTGTGTCAAAAAGTCCCAATGTAGTCCTGGCAGGTACAGGCCTCAAGGATGATGATGCTGCTTCCCCCCGTGTTCTACTTTGTAGGATTATGTTTCACATATGAGCTATAAAGTGAATCTGTGATTTGCCCAGGGCCAAATACTGAGTATTTCTCATGCTCCTGTTGCAAAGGAAGCAAAGGTGAGAATGTTGAACTGTGGAAAGAGGAAGCTGGATGATTCTATTATTTTTTCATGTGTTGGCAAAGCACAGGTTTACTTTACGTAAATTCCAGCTACCTTTACTTAAAAGTTTGTTGGTGGTGGCTGGGGTCCCTCTGGGTCCAAGACAAACGCCTTGGGTAACCATTTATTTAGCAGCCTTGACTATAATGTGGCGCTCAGATCAATACAGATCTTGGAGAGCATCCATATGTTTTACTGCGCATGCAAAAGAAAATAAATTAACAATAAACTTACATATAACCCTGGTAAATCCTCCTTATAAAACATTGCAGGCAAACTACGAAGATGCTTTGCGCTTACACAGCCTTAATGCTCACAAATATTTATTGATCAAGATCTGCTTAGCTCTCAAAGAGAAATGAAAGGGCTATACAAAAATATTGATTAGACTTCAACCATCAGATTTACAAACATTGTAAAATAAAATCACCTTATATACACTCCCAAATGCTCCACTTCCAAGGTGATCTAGAATTGCATAGTTTCCAATAAATTTTGTGGGAGTTTTGTTCTGATTGATGCCTTCAATGCCATCAGCCACTTGCTTCAGTTCATCTTCCTGGAAATTGCATAAAAGACCAATTATTCTCACTCTTGTGCGAACAATATTTTTTTTTTTTTTTTTTTTTTTTTTTAAATGGCATGTAAAGTATATCACTTACTGGTAGTGAATTCAATTTAGATACAAGGTCTTCATAGGCACTGATGTCTCGAACGTAATGACCAATGTCAATAAACATCTCAAACAAATCTGGTGGGAAAAACCTAACACAAAACAGTTAACAGGATTAAAAGAAATCTAACTCACAGCAAGAAATGTTTTTTAATTATCAATACAAAAATATTTTTCTAATGATAATTTAAGGTATCTACATGCAATAGCTATAGTTTTTCATTTTATACATATGATTTGATCCTTCTGTTAGCACAGGTTGTATGTGGCTGCACTAATATTAAAGCTATCCAGCTAACATTTTAATAATTTCTAGAAAGGGTGGATAGGTTATGTTCCCACTGGCAAGAATTAGCCTCACTCTCTGGTGATAGTTGTCAAAAACACAAAAAGTGAGGGGAAGTTAATGTAGTATTAAAGCCCCCGTTTGTACCTACAGGTAAGTCTATCATAAGGCTTACCTGTAGGTACAGTAAATATCTCCTAAATGGTGCTTACTTTAGTAGCAGTCAGTGACGTCACAGATGCATGCTGCTCATTGAGAGAACTGTGCCCCAGCTTTGACTGCTGCATGCATGTGCAGGAGTGACATCATCACAGCTCAAACATTCAAACGGCCATAGCCCACAAACCCAGAAAAAGACCAAGGAAGATCTGTGACAGTGCATCGCTGGAGAGCTTTGTTTTAAAGTGTTACTAAACCAACAACAGTAAAATCAGTCTGTATATGCAGTAAAGCATGCTTTTTTATACTGACTGGAACCTAAGGGGTTAATCCTCTGCATTGTGTAAAAAGGGTGTTTGATCCTGACTTCTCTGCTCTTTCTCTTGTTTAAATGTCCACATCTTATCTCCTGATAAGACAGACTGAACCATAGTCATTCTGCACATGATTAGTTTAGTGTGTACTGCTAGAGAGGTTCATGTGATCAGCACAGGGCCAATCAGCACTGTCAAGACAGAGGTCAGGGGTTTTGCATCCTCCTAGAGCAGAAAGAAAACTCCTCCTACAAGCTTTAATCAGTGCTCTGCTGAACACTGACAGGAGTCACAAGACTGCTCTAACTGTTGATGAGAAAAGGTATTTAAATAATTGCATTTTCATGTTCTGTGTACTGTGGGAGAACAGATATAGTGAATGCAGGGTCCGGGGTTTTAGTAACACTTTAAGGTACATATTTCATAATGTGCTAGTATGCATTGTATATTAGCACATTATGCCATTATCCTGCAGGGGACCTTTTTTTTTTTTTTTTTTATTGCGGTTTATACTGCTTTAATTCTTTTACAATTGTCATTGGAAAGGGAAGAAAGTAGAAACTTGTTCCCATAATAACTCTAAAAAGCTTTCATTTCTAAATTGTCCTTGGAACAGGATATGTGTCAATATCTTCCCAGGGGAACTACAGACAATACATGAGAGAGTTTGAAACTTTTCCACACTTTAAGGCCCTTATTTATACTTACAGTTGGGGGGGGCAGTAAAAATACAGTTGAGCCCCTTAAATTTAAAAGTAGCAGATGGGGATGTACACATGCCTTGGCTGCAATGCTTTACATTGCAGTGTGGTAAAAATTATAGCTGAACCCTCTAGTGCAGTGTTTCTCAACCTGTTTCCAGTCGGGGCGCCCTTGAAAAGTATTTTCAGTCACGAGGCACCCCTGACCAAGGCTTGGTTCACATTACTGTGTGTCACGTAATGCACGCAAAATCGTGCTCATTCCAGACAAATGCTCTGCTCTTTAGGGGTACCCCAATGCATTGGCAAATGCGGGGGGGGGGGGGGGTTCTTGTGATGCAATTCTAAAAGAAGAGTCAGGGACAACTTTTCCCGCATTTCTGCAGGTAAGGCTGCCCATTGAAATGAATGAGCTGCCCTACACAGAGCCACATAGATGTGAACCAAGGGCTTGTTCACCTGTGAGGTTGGAGGGTGCTAAAACCATGCAATTGAGCTGCTTTTACCACCCCCAACTGCTCCCCCTTTAGCTGCAGAAGCAGCAACTGGGGGTATACACATGCCGTGGCCGCAGCTGGAAGTATACCTCCAGGTAAATGGGGATGAACTACAACCACCCCACAACCTCTCACCCTCTAAAGACATGCTGGTAGGTTAATTGGCTCCTGTCTAAATTGCCCCTAGTATGTGTATGTAGGAATGTGATTTAGGGACTTTAGATTGTACACCCCTTGAGGGTTAGGGACTGATGTAAATGTACAATATAAATGTAAAACGCGTAAATTGACGGCGCTATATACAGGTGAAACTCGAAAAATTTGAATATCGTGCAAAAGTTCATTTATTTCAGTAATGCAACTTAAAAGGTGAAACTAATATATGAGATAGACTCATTACATGCAAAACAAGATAGTTCAAGCCGTAATTTGTCATAATTGTGATGATTATGGCTTACAGCTCATGAAAACCCCAAATCCACAATCTCAAAAAATTTGAATATTGTGAAAAGGTGCAATATTCTAGGCTCAAAGTGTCCCACTCTAATCAGCTAATTAAGCCATAACACCTGCAAAGGGTTCCTGAGCCTTTAAATGGTCTCTCAGTCTGGTTCAGTAGGAATCACAATCATGGCAAAGACTGCTGACCTGACAGTTGTGCAGAAAACCATCACTGACACCCTCCATAAGGAGGGAAAGCCTCAAAAGGTAATTGCAAAAGAAGTTGGATGTTCCCAAAGTGCTGTATCAAAGCACATTAATAGAAAGTTATGTGGAAGGGAAAAGTGTAGAAGAAAAAGGTGCACAAGCAGCAGGGATGACCGCAGCCTGGAGAGGATTGGCAGAAAAAGGCCATTCAAAAGTGTTGGGGACTTTCACAAGGAGTGGACTGAGGCTGGAATCAGTGCATCAAGAGCCACCACACACAGACGGATCCTGGACATGGGCTTAAAATGTTGTATTCCTCTTGTCAAGCGTCTTACCTGCGCTAAAGAAAAACAGACCTGGTTTGTTGCTCAGTGGTCCAAAGTCCTCTTTTCTGATGAGAGCAACTTTTGCATCTCATTTGGAAACCAAGGACCCAGAGTATGGAGGAAGAATGGAGAGGCACACACTGCAAGATGCTTGAAGTCCAGTGTGAAGTTTCCACAGTCTGTGTTGATTTGTGGAGCCATGTCATCTGCTGGTGTTGGTCCACTGCGCTTCATTAAGTCCAGGGTCAGCTGAGCCATCTACCAGGAGATTTTGGAGCACTTCATGCTTCCTTCCGCAGACGAGCTTTATGGGGATGCTGACTTCATTTTCCAGCAGGACTTGGCACCTGCCCACACTGCCAAAAGCACCAACACCTGGTTCAATGACCGTGGGATTACTGTGCTTGATTGGCCAGCAAACTCGTCTGACCTGAACCCCATAGAGAATCTATGGGGCATTGCCAAGAGAAAGATGAGAGACATGAGACCGTACAATGCAGAAGAGCTGAAGGCCGCTATTGAAGCATTCTGGTCTTCCATAACACCTCAGCAGTGCCACAGGCTGATAGCTTCCATACCACGCCGCATTGAGGCAGTATTTGCTGCAAAAGGGGCCCAAACCAAGTACTGAGTACATATGCATGCTTATACTTTTCAGAGGTCCGATATTGTTCTATGTACAATCCTTGTTTTATTGATTGCATGTAATATTCTAATTTTCTGAGATTGTGGATTTGGGGTTTTCATGAGCTATAAGCCATAATCATCACAATTATGACAAATCACAGCTTGAACTATCTTGCTTTGGATGTAATGAGTCTATCTCATATATTAGTTTCACCTTTTAAGTTGCATTACTGAAATAAATGAACTTTTGCACGATATTCTAATTTTTCGAGTTTCACCTGTAAGTACCTGTAATAAATTTTTAAAAAATAAACTGTGTGAGTATTGCACGCGGTTGTGGTGTGGTGATTCTGGTTTTTACAGGGTTAAAACAGGTGGTGAGGAAGCAACATATTGCCACCTCTTTACCACCTGTCAAATGCCTCTGAAAAGTGATCTGAGCATGCATTTCTTTTCAGAGGAGCAGCAGTCCTTGCTGCTATTATGAACAATTCCTAAAAAAACAGTTCTGAAAGGACAGGAAAAGGGGGTCAAGTTTAAAAGTAACACACACACAGACAGACACACATCAAAACACACACACATACAAACGCATAATGTACACATACACATACAAACACATGTACACACGTGTACACATGTACATACAAACACATGTACATAAACACACACATGTACACACACACAGACACAAGTACACACACACAGACACATGTACACACACACACAGATGCATACAAACAAATGTATACAGCTCTATGAAAAGTTACAGTACCTTACCTTCACTCACACAGCCAGGTACTGCACTCTAGGGGGAGGCACAGAGCAGAGAAAACACACCCCTTCCCTTTGCTTTCACTTTGCTCAGCAGTCTGATGGCTCCCAGTGCTGATGTACAGTGCGACAGAGAGCCTTTCTTTGCCAGGACACCACTGCACCCCTAAAGACCTCTGGTGGCACCCTGGGGTGCCGCAGCACCAGATTGAGAAAGGCTGCTTGTGTAGCGTTTATCAACCTTTTTTACAGTCAAGGCACCCTTTACAAATCTGCGCAATTTTGAGGCACCCCATTATAAAATGTAAAAACTAAACCGATAGTTTTACATAACACAGCAACATCCACACATACAGAACATCCAACGTAATTTATTCTCCCAAAGCAAATACACCTTTACACACTGGTACTGACTAGTAATTGCAATTTTTCTCTCCCTCACTCAGCTAGTGACCCTAGTGCTGACAGAGAGGGGCAGAGGAGGTACAAACAAGTATGCTGTCAGGGACCCCGACATCCTCCTTATCAACCAATGGTAGGTGGTAATGGTGCACAGTGGGCACCCTGGTTGAAAAAGGCTGCTCTAGTGAGTATAAGAATGTGTATAAAATGTTAGCACATTGTGATGAAATAATAAAAATTTTATTAAATAATGTAAAAAGTAATTTAAAAAAAAAAATAGAAAATAACTTCAAATAATACGTTAATGATGAACAAATGCTAACATTATAAATGGATACTTATGAAATACTTTAGTGTTGGCCTTTACATCAAACCTATCATTGTAATTCACACTTTACCAGAATCCTGGTACTGGTCAGCATTAACAATTTACTTTTTAGTGAAACAGCATCTCCTTGCCCTTGAACCCTCATATAGCTGAAAGCCTAAGCAAAATATCGTACAGTCTCCATCTATCAGGAGCACTGAGGATGATTTACATAGACAACGTAGATACAGTCAGGTCTATAAATATGGGGACATCGACACAATTCTAACATTTTTGGCTCTATACACCACCACAATGGATTTGCAATGAAACAAACAATATGTGCTTTAACTGCAGACTGTCAGCTTTAATTTGAGGGTATTTACATCCAAATCAGGTGAACAGTGTAGGAATTACAACAGTTTGCATATGTGCCTCCCACTTGTTAAGGGACCAAAAGTAATGGGACAGAATAATAATCATAAATCAAACTTTCACTTTTTAATACTTGGTTGCAAATCCTTTGCAGTCAATTACAGCCTGAAGTCTGGAACGCATAGACATCACCAGACGCTGGGTTTCATCCCTGGTGATGCTCTGCCAGGCCTCTACTGAAACTGTCTTCAGTTCCTGCTTGTTCTTGGGGCATTTTCCCTTCAGTTTTGTCTTCAGCAAGTGAAATGCATGCTCAATCGGATTCAGGTCAGGTGATTGACTTGGCCATTGCATAACATTCCACTTCTTTCCTTAAAAAACTCTTTGGTTGCTTTTGCAGTATGCTTTGGGCCATTGTCCATCTGCACTGTGAAGCGGCGTCCAATGAGTTCTGAAGCATTTGGCTGAATATGAGCAGATAATATTGCCCGAAACACTTCAGAATTCATCCTGCTGCTTTTGTCAGCAGTCACATCATCAATAAATACAAGAGAACCAGTTCCATTGGCAGCCATACATGCCCACGCCATGACACTACCACCACCATGCTTCACTGATGAGGTGGTATGCTTAGGATCATGAGCAGTTCCTTTCCTTCTCCATACTCTTCTCTTCCCATCACTCTGGTACAAGTTGATCTTGGTCTCATCTGTCCATAGGATGTTGTTCCAGAACTGTGAAGGCTTTTTTAGATGTCGTTTGGCAAACTCTAATCTGGCCTTCCTGTTTTTGAGGCTCACCAATGGTTTACATCTTGTGGTGAACCGTCTGTATTCACTCTGGTGAAATCTTCTCTTGATTGTTGACTTTTACACACATACACCTACCTCCTGGAGAGTGTTCTTGATCTGGCCAACTGTTGTGAAGGGTGTTTTCTTCACCAGGGAAAGAATTCTTTGGTCATCCACCACAGTTGTTTTCCGTGGTCTTCCTGGGTCTTTTGGTGTTGCTGAGCTCACCGGTGCATTCCTTATTTTTTAGAATGCTCCAACAGTTGTTTTGGCCACACCTAATGTTTTTGCTATCTCTCTGATGGGTTGGTTTTGTTTTTTCAGCCTAATGATGGCTTGCTTCACTGATAGTAACAGCTCTTTGGATCTCATCTTGAGAGTTGACAGCAACAGATTCCAAATGCAAATAGCACACTTGAAATGAACTCTGGACCTTTTATCTGCTCATTGTAATCGGGATAATGAGGGAATAACACACACCACGCCATGGAACAGCTGAGAAGCCAATTGTCCCATTACTTTTCGTCCATTAACAAGTGGGAGGCACATATGCAAACTGTTGTAATTCCTACACCGTTCACCTTATTTGGATGAAATACCCTCAAATTAAAGCTGACAGTCTGCAGTTAAAGGTCATCTTGTTCATTTCATTTCAAATCCATTGTGGTGGTGTATAGAGCCAAAAATGTTAGAATTGTGTCGATGTCCCAATATTTATGGACCTGACTGTAGCTTACTGTGGTCAACTTGTAATCAGAGAAGAGTGTCAACAAGCAAAAACAAATATGCTGCACTGCTAATGAGAACGCACACCCTGCGTATGTAACAAAAAAATATGGTTGCCCCCGTGTACAGTGAAGAAAATAAGTATTTGATCCGCTGCTGATTTTGAATGTTTGCCCACTCACAAAGAAATGATCAGTCTAAAAATCGAATGGTAGGTGTATTGTAAGAGACTGCTTCTAATCTCAGCTTGTTACCTGTATGAAAGACACCTGGTAGCCAGAAATCCTGCGGAATGATAGGGGATCAAATACTTATTTCCCTCATGAACATGCAAATCAGTGCATAATTTTGTTAGACATGCATTCCTTTTGAATTTTTTGTTGCTATTCTGTCTCTCAGTGTTACAATACACCTACCATTTGATTTTTAGACTGATCATTTCTTTGTGAGTGGGCAAATATTCAAAATTAGCAGGGGATCAAATACTTATTTCCTTCACTATATATATAATATACATAGAAAAAAAAGCTTTTTAAACATTAAAATACATCTAGAAACCATTTACATTTAGCTGGTCTCTTTCACATGTTTATTTAAAACAAAATGTAAAAGTCTGCTCTGTAGTTCCCATTTATTGAACATACAGCATCTGTAAGGAGCAACTGCTTTATTCTATAATGTATGAAATGCCTTTTTATCTTTGTGTATATATCTCCTATACATCAAGACGTAATATTTTATTTATAGAATTATTTTCTTTTTATTTACTATTTTGGAAAGATATTTTTTGTGAATCAGTACCTTTTGAACAGATCTCGGTTTCTTTCCATGCTAAAGAGAAATCTTAATGCTCGGAACGCATAACACTGTAAGATAAAAACAAAGGGCAGTCAAGCTAAAGCATTTCTGCCACCACAACAGTAGGAACCAGCAGGACTTGCACAATAATGAGTAGCTGCCAACGATGGTATTAATTTTGCTCAGTCTATGATCTAGGGCCATCTGGCTGTACATCTTTCTAGTAGGGATCTTCTGCCATCTGGAAGCTTGTACTACAACTTATTAGTGATACTACAGTGTACAATAAATAATCTTAATTATAAGTAGTTAGAGGAAAGGCAATGTGAACAAGTAAAATTCATAGGTTTACAAATATGGTAAACTCACAGAATATTGAAAGTTATAAAAAAAAAAACTCACAAAATGACAGTGATTCCTGAAGTTTGAGATGGGTACCAGCGGTTTTACATTATGTCACTTTATGTATATTATGGCAACATGGTAGAGATAGCATCCCAGAGCATTGGGAATCTTGTAAGAAGATAAGAAGCAGAGACTTCATCTGCATCTTTAAACTATGTTGTGACTATGTAGTAAGCGTAACCTAGTTTATCTGACATTACGTTCTCAGGAAGCAATTAATCTGCAGTAGTGCATGGAAAAGTTATTCTGTGAAATAGGTATAAGTGAGCGCTAAAGTAAAAAAAGCTGCTGGACACAAAAGGTACCAAAAACAACCTCCAAAATTCACATACAGATAAGAGTGCAGCGCTTATAAAAACAAATGAAACATTTAAAATCTATGACTGACACACAAAATTATATATCAAAGTGCAAGGGTGTGTAACTGCAAAACACAGGCAAGATATAGTTCTTATGCTGTCCCTTATAGGGTGACTTGATATGGTATAAGTGCTCAGTTCACAATCTCCCAGTAAGTGGGGTGAGGTGGGGGACCAAATGGATCCCTGTTGACACACGGTGATAACCAAGAAAAACGATATGTGGCGATATCCAAAATTGGTATAAGATTGTGCACTCACCAGATGCACAATCAATATGCGCATGTAAGAGATAACCCCTCTTAAGGTATGACTCCAGGACTCATCTGAAGCAAGGTCTGGTCTATTTCCGCGTTGTGGACCCTCAGCTGCCATGCATGGCTCTGTTCCCCTATTGCTCTTGGCTCTGTAGGTGGTTGGAAGCTCACCAAAGAGCCCCAGAGAGAAAAGGAGGCCAGAATAGCGTGATACTGCTTGAACATGTGTGTGTTTATTCCATCCAGCATAAAAGGGTATAATAACACAATACTGACCAGACAAGAAAGTAAGTTGGCCGCCGGGACCCCAGTGGTGCCAGCGGCAATAGAACGTCACTGTGCCGCAGTTCCTTGCTGACGCGTTTCGTGCAACTCATAGGGGGTATGTGTCATGGATTTGGTGTGTATGGGTGTGTCATAGATTTTAAATGTTTCATTTGTTTTTATAAGCGCTGAACTCTTATCTGTATGGAAAAGTTATTGTCTACTTTGACCCATTAGTACACAATATAGAAAGGAGCCAGAGAGCAACTTAATGTTGGCAAAAAGGACTGTTGAGTGTTCCTGCCAGAGTGTTAATCATTGCTTCACTGCTTTGTATAGTCAACCACAGAACTGAGTAAACAGCGGACTATTGCCAAAAGCCGGCCAAAGAAAGGCCGAGATGGCACCCACAGATGCCACTAAACACCCAACAGCATAATATGGACGCAACCATATGCTAGCCAGTAGTTGTCTCCATCCTGCCATCTCTGCATATCGCCGGCTGACTTTGGCCACAGAGAGCAGTGATGCAACAATTAACACTCTGGCTAGGACACTCAGACACCCAAAAGTAAATGCTGCTTTGACACTGATCCTTTTTTCTTCCACTTTTGCGTTAAAAGAAGTGGAATAAAAATATGTGTAACTCTTCACACTGATCCTTTGCAGGTCCGGTGCATTTTTAAAAATCCTTGCTGCATTTTTGGTACAGGCTTGGTGCGGTAAAAAAAAAGTGTGGTTTTTGAGTTACATGTCCTGTAAAAAAAGGCAACGCAAAAAACGTGGTGAATCAATGGAAAATGCAGCAAACATGCATCCAAAATGCACCTGCGTTGTGGTTTTGGTGTGGTTTTTGAGTTACATGTCCTGTAAAAAAACGCAATGCAAACGTAGTAAATCAATGGAAAATGCAACAAAGACACATCAAAAATACACCTCCATTGCGTTTTTGGTGTGGTTTTGAGTTACATGTTCTGTAAATAACACAACGCAAATGCGGTAAAAACATATACGCATCATGTAAATAATAGGTTTACACCAAAGAAACAAAAAGAGCCAAAAAAATGTAAAGAGGATCCTACTGTACATCACCACCTGCTTATTCAAAATGAGAATACAAACTATCAATATGCAGAATTTCATATACAGTTGCAAGAAAAAGTATGCCCCTTGGGATTACGTGGAGTTTTGCATGAATTGGGCATAAAAAATGTGCTCTGAACGTCATCTAAGTCACAACAATAGAAGAACACAGTCTGCTGAACATAATACTACACAAAAATTAGATGTTGCCATGGTTTAATTGCACATAACATGTAAACATTCAGTGCAGGGAGGAAAAAGTATGTGAGGCCCTAGCTTAATGACTTCTCCCAGAGCTAATTGGAAAAAGGAGTGAGCCAAATCAGTGTGATGATATTGGATGTGTTGCTGAAAAAGCTGTCCTGCCCTTAAAAAACACACACCTGTTTTGGGTTTACTGGTTTCAAGAAGCACTGTCATGATGTGAACCATGCCTCGCAAAAAGAGCTCTCAGAAGACCTACGATCAAGACTTGTTGACTTGTTGACTTGCATGAAGCTGGAAAGGGTTACAAAAGTATCTCCAAAAGCCTTGATGTTCATGTGTCCACGGTAAGACAGACTGTCTACAAATGGAGAAAGTTTTGCACTGTTACATGGCGTGGTCGTCCTGTAAAAAAAGACTGCAAGAGCACAGCAGAACTGCATGAGGTAAAGAAGAATCCCAGAGTGTCAGCTAAAAACCTACAGAAATCTCTGGCACATGCTAACATTTTTTTTGACATCTACAATAAGGAAAACATTAAACAAAATGGAGTACATGGGAGGACACCACGAAGGAAGCCATTGCTGTCCAAAAAGAAGATTGCGTTTTTTTGCAAAAGAGGTGTGGGCAAAATATACTGTGACAGATGAAACCAAGATTAGTTGTTTGGGAAGAACACACAACACTATGTAAAAAAAGGCACAACGCAACATCAAACCTCATCCCCACTGTGAAAAAGGGAGCATCATGGTTTGGGGCCTGCTTTGCTGCCTCAGGGCCTGGACGGATTGTTGTCATTGATGGGAAAATGAATTCCAGAGTTTACAAGACATTTTGCAAAAAACATACGACCATCTGTCCGCCAACTGAAGCTCCGCAATGGGTGATGCAACAGGACAGACCCAAAGCATACAAGTCATTCAACAAAACAATGGCTGCAACAGCACAGAATACGCCTTCTGGAGTGGCCCAGTCAGAGTCCTGACCTCAACCCCGATTGAAATGCCGTGGCATGACCTTAAGAGAGCGATTCACACCAGACATCCCAAGAATAACACTGAAACAGTTTTGTGAAGAGGGAGTGGTCCAAAATGACTCCAGATGTTGTGCAGGTCTGATCTGCAACTACAGGAAACGTTTGGTTGAGGTTATTGCTGCCAAAGGAGGGTCAACCAGTTATTAAGTCCAAAGGTTCACATACTTTTTCCTCCCTGCACTGTGAATGTTTACATTTATGTGCAAAAACCATGAGTTTGTGTAGTATTATGTTCAAACTGTGTTCTTCTATTGTTGTGACTTAGATGACGTTCAGAGCACATTTTTATGCCTATGCAAAACTAATCCCAAGGGGTTCACATACTTTTTCTTGCAACTGTAACTTTCAAAAAAGAGAGTATTTTTAAAATGTTTTTTTTTTTCTACTCAACAAAATAAATATAAAAATATGTAAAAGTAAACAAAAAACTACACATTCCTTTAAGTACATTGTGTTTTTACCTGTAATAAAATAGACTTGCTTCTGGTACAATCATTTTGTCTGCTTGGTAAAATCAGCATACCAATAATGTAAACACCATTTTCCTGAAAAAAAAAGGAACAAATTATTAAGTTTTGTAACTATTCTCTAATATGAAGCTATGGTATTTTGGTACTGGTAGACACTCATATTTTCAATTTTTGTGGGCAGGGGGTGGGGGGGACTGAACAGAAAATATATTTATTAAATAGAACTAGAATGCAACTCAGAACATGAGCATGTCATCTTTCACTGGGAGACTGATATAGATTTGTGACAGATACTCTGAGCTCAACTTCACTGATCAAGAACTTGACAGCTTCTCTCTGAGGCTTCTAAGACAGTCATTTTGCCTCTAGACAGATTCCTATTAAAGCAAAACAATAGTTAAAACAAATTGATACCAGTTTTTGTCAGAAAAGACACTGCATTTCTCTGTTAGCAAAGAAAATCTCCTTTTCTGATAGCAATTTTCTAAAAATTGTACACTGAGAGTGATGGATATACAGTTCAGTGTGTACTTTGGTATAGCTGGGCGTCATGTGGGTCCCTGTACCTTTAAGGAGGGATGGGCTCCTCCAGGCACACCTGCCCTTAACCTATCCATTGATACATGTGCTCCTACTATGGAGGCTTTGGAAATTTTAGTTAGGTCCAAAGTATACAGAGGACCCTTGACCTGGGACTGTGGCTTACGCGAGTATTTGCATACGCAAAAGTGACATACAAAACCCCTTAGTTTTAACACAAACTGTTAGACAGGGCAAATTTGTTGTTTTGCAGGCTGGCTGGTAAGTGCTGCTGGGATATCTTTTGTTTGTTTGCGATGTGCATTGCCCTTCCATGTGCACCTTACTGCTAAGGTTGGTTATAGGTTGGGACAGTTGCCATTTTTTGTGTAGTTGGCTAATTTGGACACAGGTACGCACTGGATGCCTTTGCTGTCATTTTGGTATAGCTAGGCGTCAAGTGCATCCCTGTACCTTTAAGGAGGGATGGGCTCCTCCAGGCACACCTGCCCTTAACCTATCCATTGATACATGTGCTCCTACTATGGAGGCTTTGGAAATTTGAGTTAGGTCCACAGTATACAAAGGACCCTAGCTGTGGGATTGTGGCTTACGCATGTATTTGCAAATGTGTGCAAACAAAACCCTCTGGCCAAACTGGTTGTTTTGCAGGCTGGCTGGTAAGTGCTGCTGGGAAATCTTTTGTTTGTTTGCAAAGTTCAGTGTGTACTCCCAGCATTTGTAAGATACCGAGAGTGGAGCCAGGTGCTAGGATATTGTACAGTAACTCCCATGCACAGCAGTCATAACATCTATGGCTGTCCAAAGGCCAAAAAAAGAAGACTGTTGGCCAGATGCAGACCAGGACAAGAGAGCAACATGCGCGAGTGCATACACCTTGCATCACTGGATGGATTTCTGCCTATGGTGTAAGTGTTTTACACTGTGCAAAATTACAGACTATGACAAATATTCCTTTGACAAAGCAGCAAGCTCGTTTGACAGGCCACCCCACTCACTCAATTTAAACAAGCCATACTTCCCCGCCTTTCAGAGTACTGAATTCCTGTGTAGGCACTGTGGCAACCTGTGCTGGAGCTTACACAAGGTTAATAACGTTTCTCCTTCACTATGTGACAGGGTACAGGCCTGGGGATTGGTTGGTCCCCCACACTCGGAAGCACCGGGTATATCCAAGGGATCGATCAAGCAAATAAAGCAGAAAGGAAGTACAGAAAAAGTAAAGTTGGCCATACACGATGTTCGAATTTTTGACAATTCCTGCCGTCTCTACTGAAATATGATCAATATTTAGCCCTGCTGGCACCCCTCTGATTGACAAAAAGTTCTGTCAGCGGAGCCTGTCAGAAAATTGTCAGACGAACAATGACTGCATCAGATGCAAGTATTGTCTGGGTATTCTAACAGCTGGCTACACCAGCTGTCAGGATACAAGACCCCATAGTGGGTATTTGTCCATCCACTCTGTTCTAGTTGATGAAGGAATCTGTTTGATTTCTCTTGTTCAGCCTGCAGGCCAGACTAATTATCAGCACTATGCACAGTTATTACAGTGATAACGTTGCTTGTGACTGCCTTTGTTCAGAAATATTCTTCCAAATATTTGAATTTTCTTTGCAAACATTCAGCAACAAAAAAAAAATCTGTGAAGTCCAAAAAACACATTTCTTTAATAACTGTCAAATCTGCAGACTCCATGATTTTTAGTGATCTACTTTATCACCCTCAGCCTTCAATTTCACAGATACAGAGCATAGGAAGACCCTCCTCCCACAGGTCTGACCTCAGACAAAATCTATTAGCAGCTGGGAAAATACATAAGACGTTCTATCTTTGGGGGCTTTTTGTTGAGAATTGGCTTATATAGCCAGAAAAAGAAGACTGATCAGCATTTTTATTTCTTCTAACGTAAAGCCTTTATTAGTAGCCACAAAAATAAAATATGTTAATTGAATATACATGCACAACCCTTATAAGGGTTACATGTTTGCTATGTAATGGATGAACGCACACATGGATTGAGCAAGAAATGTTACTTTACCTGAACTACTTGGTGAGCATTGGTGTCATTGAGCACAAGTTCAGTAAGAGCTGCACAGCAGGCTAAAATGAGACAAGAGGCTCAGTCAGTACATCATTTACATTCAGCTAAGGTACAACATGACTCTGGACTTTTCTAAGAAGACAAGAGTACATTACAAATTCAGCACTTTAGCTATAAGAAACATCAAATTATAAAATCCTTAATCCCATCAATGTCTTAGCTATGTCAATAGGCCAGCATTAAATACTGCTATAAAATATAACCTCAGCTATTAGCACTAACTGCCAATATAAACATTCCCTCTATCAGGAAAACAACTAAAATGAGAGAACACTACAATGCCTTTATAAGATATTCAACACTTGACATTTTTTAAAACTGATTAATGCAAATATAGGCAGTAGGTAGTATATTTATAAAGCAGTAAATGTGAGTTTCATTGTACATTGACCAGAGAATCTTTCACCTCCTTTATAAAATCAATTTGCTTGGAGGATTCACCAGCACAATTGCCGAGCTACGCAATATTCACTGACATTTACCAATATATGCTCAGCTATTGGAAATAACATTTCCTATACTAGTTACCCTATTTATAACCTGGCAAATGTGATGTTCTTTGCAGATTCAGTGAAAACATTAAATAGTATACAAACCCAGTAACTAAAATTTCATGTATGCTTTAACATGTTAATATAGTTTCAGAAATAATTTTCAGTATTTTAACCTCTTCCCTACCACACTATAACTGAAAGACGGCTACAGCACGGTTGTCTAGTTCTGGGAAGACGTTCATGGATGTCATTCCAGAACATGCCCCCTGAGCACATCCAGCGGCACAAACCGGCACCGCCGGTGATCGCTGTGTCCTTCGAGCACAGCTGATCATGTGATATGGTAAACAGCCAATCACAGCGGCCTTTTACCACGTGATCAGTTGTGTTCAAGGACACAGCAGATCACCAGGTAAATACAGTTGCCGGTTATCGGGTGCACTTTCCTCACTCTGTCAGAGCATGAGGAAAGTACTGCCGATAAACTAAATTGTCAGAGAAGTGATCATTACTGATCATCAGGGCACTGATACCCCTGTACCAAGAAGTGCCACCCACCTGTGCCCATGTGCCCCATCCCAGTGCTACCCACTGTGCCCAGCAGTGCCACCCACCTGTGCCCTGCAGTGCCGCCCACATGTGCCCATCAGTGCCACTCATCAGTGCCAAGTAGTGCCGCCCATCAGTGCTGCCATCAGTGCTGCCTATCAGTGTCGCCTATCAGTGCAGCATCATCAGTGCCAGCTCATCAGTGCCGCCTATCAATGCTGCCTATCAGTTCCTCTTATCAGTGCCCATCAGTGCTGCCTATCTGTGCCACCTCATCAGTGCTGCCTATCAGTGCCCATCAGTGCTGCCTATCAGTTCAGCCTCATCAACGCACATCAGTGAAGGAGAAAAATTACCTTTTTGCAAAATTTTATAATAGAAACAAGAAAACCTTTTTTGTTTCAAATTTTTTGCTCTTTTTTTTTGTTTATAGCGCAAAAAATGAAACACCCAGTGGCGATTAATAACCACCAAAAGAAAGCTCTATTTGTGTGAAAAAAAATGATAAAAATTTCATATGGGTACAGTGTTGTATGACTGCGCAATTGTCATTTAAAGTGCGACAGCACTGAAAGCTGAAAATTGGCCTGGGCATGAAGAGGGTATAAGTTCTCGGTAGGCAAGTGGTTAAAATAAGATCTGGAGATCCTGTCATAAAACTCATTGCACATACACTTCCTGTTATAGGATGCCAATTGTGGCTGCATGTTGTTACCCTGTCACATGTGCTTTCAATGGAGATACAAGTGGCTGTTTAAATGCACATTAAGTCAGCATGCTTCACTGTTGTTACCATTAGGAAACCCCTCACTGAGAAATTCATGCAGAAAGGAAGTAGAGACAAAGAGACTGCAGGAGGTCAGCAAAAGCAAGACACAACAAATAATGAAAAAAGATGAAAACAAGTATTTTTTATTTTCAAAAAATGGCACTTCTGCAGCTCGACCTGGTCATGTTCTTGCTTGGTCGCCTCCCACCCTGTATGCCTAGGGTCACCAAGAGACTAATGCACGCCATAGATGGGTCGAAAATCGGCCGATTTTTTGGCCGAAAATAAAATCGGCCGATTTTCGGATCGTTAGTGGACTATTTGTTCGGCCGTTTTTCGGTATTTTGGCAGATTTTTTTTATTGGTAAAGTTGGAAAAAAAATCGGCCGATTTTGCCGATCGGCAGATTTTCGCGGCAATAATGGGCAAATTGGCCGATTTTTTTACCGATAAAAAATCTGCGCATGATGAGCAGTGACCTGCAAGAGGAAGACAAAAAGAAGAAGAAGAAGAAGAGGAAGAAGAAGAGGATGAAGAAGAAGAAAGAGGATGATGATGATGAAAAAGAAGAGGATGATGAAGAAGAAGAAGAAGAGAAGAAGAAGAAGAAGAAGAAGAGGATGATGATGAAGAAGAAGATATGAAGAAGAAGAAGAAGAGGGATGATGATGAAGAAGAAGAGGATAGAAGAAGAAAAAGAAGAAGAAGAGAGATGATGATGATGAAGAAGAGGTAGAAGAAGAAGAAGAAGAGGATGATGATGAAGTAGAAGAAGAGGATGATGATGATGAAGAAGAAGATGATGATGATGATGAAGAAGAAGAAGAAGAAGAAGATGAAGATGATGATGGATGATGATGATGATGATGAAGAAGAAAAAGAAGAAGAGAGGAGAAGAGGATGATGATGATGATGAAGAAAAAGAAGAAGAAGAGGATGATGATGAAGAAGAAGAAGAGGATGATGATGATGAAGAAGAAGAAGAAGAGATGATGAAGAAGAAGAAGAAGAAGAAGAAGAGATGATGAAGAAGAAGAAGAGGATGATGATGATGAAGAAAAAAAGAAGAGAGAGATGATGATGAAGAAGAAGAAGAAGAAGAGGATGATGATGATGAAGAAAAAGAAGAAGATGATGATGATGAAGAAAAAAAAGAAGAGGATGATGATGATGATGAAGAAGAAGAAGAGGATGGTGATGATGAAAGAAGAAGAAGAGGATGATGATGATGAAGAAGTAGAAGAAGAGGATGATGATGAAGAAGAAGAAGAGGATGATGATGATGAAGAAGAAGAGGATCATGATGATGATGAAGAAGAAGAAGAAGAAGAGGATGATGATGAAGAAGAAGAATGAAAAATAAGAGGAATTCCAGCCCGGCAAAAAGGGTCCCTGCAGAGAGCTCTGCTATTTCTTTGACAGTTCTCTGACAGTTGCTTGACATTTACAGAAGTTGCAACATTGTATCTATTTGTTTCCGAATAAAAACATCTGTATCCTAAATGGATACAAATAGATACATTGTTGCAACCTCTGTAAATGTGAAGGAACTGTCAGAGAACTGTCAAAGAAATAGCAGAGCTCTCTGCAGGGACACTTTTTGCCGGCTGTAGACGGGATGAAAATCGGCCGATTTTTTTTTTTTACCATTGCTGGTAACGTCGGCCGCTTGAACGACCGATTTTTCGTTTTTTAAAAGAAAAATCGGCCGTTTTTCTCCCCATCTATGGCCTGCATAACTCTACTTGTGTTATTTTTTTTTTTTTTTGGTGGAATCCATACTATCTTATCCAGTTGTGTCCCACTTAATGTGTTTTTCTATATTCACTCAACTTTTTCTTAGTGCATTGTATGTCCAATCAAAAATATGTGAAAGTAACACTGCATAATAATATCTCTTAAAATCAGGCACACTTAGAACCCCCCTTATCCTTGTCCCTACATAACACTTCATAGCTTATTCTCTGTTTTTTATTTCCCCAAATATATCTCAATATAATTTTTTTTAATTATTTTAAAATAGGCTCCCGGGAGTTGTATAGGCAACATTTGGAATTTATATAGGATTTTTGGGACGATTATAATTTTTATCAAGTTTATTCGTCCTATCCAAAAAGATGGTCCTACCGATAATCTTTTCAGTTCCTCCTCTATCTTGTTTGTTAGTGGGATATAATTTATTTTAAAGTTTTTAAGTTGATGAGGTAAATTTAATTCCCAGGTATTTGCTAAATTTTTTTTTTCCATTATTGGGACGTTAATATTTAATATCTCTTATTTTACCGGGTTAATTTTTAGATTTGACATCTCTCCATAGTATTTCATTATTTTCATTAAGTTAGGTAATGTCAACCTAGGGTTAGCCACACAGAACAGCAAATCATCCGCATACGCTGCCACTTTGTGTTCTATCTCCCCTATCCGGACCCCTTTTATATCTATACTGTTTCTTACTGTTGCTAAGAGGGGTTCTAAGGATAGAGGTGAAAGTGGAAACCCTTATCTTGTCCCGTTATACATCCTAAAAAACTCTGATAGCACAATATTGACCTTTACTGCAGCTGAAGGTTGGCTATAAAGCTTTTCTATCCACTCTCTCATCTTGGGCCCAATTCCCAGGATCTCCAACGTGTATAACATAAAGCCCCGATCTACCCTATCAAAAGCCTTCTCTGCATCAACTGACAAGACCAGTACAGGGAGTTTTCCTCTCTTACTTTTCTGCATAAGGAGTAATGACCTTAACCCATTGTCTCTTCACTCCCTCCCAGGGACAAATCCCACTTGGTCCAAATGAATCCACTCTGGCATTAGATCTTTCAATCTAATTTCTAGGACCTTTGCAAATAATTTAGTATCTGTATTTAACAGTGAGATAGGCCAATAACTACCACATCGGGTCCCATATTTCCCCTCTTTTAATATAAGCATAATATATGCTTGCAATGACTCCTCCCTCATCTCCATCCCTTCTCCTAATGCATTCATATATAGCCTCAATTTGGGGACTAGTTGTTCTTGGAATTTTTTGTAGTATCTCACTGTATATCCGTCAGGCCCTGGGCTTTTCCCAGCAACTGTCTTCTTCAATGCCCTTTGGATTTCCTCCTGCATTATCAGGTTTTCTAGATGTTTTAATTGTTCTTCTCTTAAAATCAGTAAATTTGCCTCCTTTAAATACCTTTGC